ATGTTGGGCGAGACAACGGATGAAGGCGCCATCTTAGTTATCATCTTAATTATCATTGTTCTGCTAACCTATATCTGATTGTTTACTTAAAAGAGTAAGGAATTTAAAGAGCAAGAGGCAGAGAAAAGCAAAACTATAAAATCGTCATTTTACTGATTATCTGACAAAATAGGGATTGTCTATCTCAATCCCTTGCAATGTAAGAAAACAAATATGTCTAATAGTGTACATAGTGTAGAGTTATTCACTTTCAGGTCATCACAGGGGACAAGGGGGCACTCTTTTCTTCTGGAGAATAGGAGGTTTAACCTCCACACACTAAAAAGGCTTCTTCACAGTACAAGCTGTGAAAATGTGGAATAGACTCCCTCAAGTGCTGGTTCTGGCTAGCTCAGTAGATTGTTTTTTTTAAAAAGGCCTGGATGCATTCCTAAATTCACAAAATATAACTGGATATTAATATTTAGAGGTAATAATGACAGGGGAAGTTGATCTAGGGAATATTTGCTTGCCTTATGGGGGATCAGAAAGGATTTTTTTCCCCCACTGGGGTAAAATGGATCATACTTTATTGGGTTTTTCTTTTTTTGGCCTTGCTGGATCTGGATCAATTATGGGTATAGGATTGCGTATATGGAGGTTTTCATTTGTGTTTCCATTTGTGTGTGTTTTATTTTTATTGGTTGAACTAGATGAACTAGTGTCTTTTTTCAACCCAAGTGGAGATGGGCAGTGACTATGTGTATATGAGTGTGTATAAAAGAAGGTGAGAGCCCTAGTTTGGTTTAGCTTTGAGGAATAAGGTACATCCTCCAAAGTGCATTATTCTGTCAATGTGAGGGATCTTTTGGACCAGGTGACACCAACCCACTAGTGGATTTTAATCCATTGCTTGAATTATATCACATCTGTGAGCATGTTTTTTGGCATTTGGTTGTCAATAAAGGTTTGGAAATGCACTAAGCTCCCTCCTGTTTGTGCATTTACAATGCTCAGTGTAAATGAGTACACCTCTTTTGAAAAATAGGATTGAAATCAATATCTTAATGAACACAATAAAAATTTCTGAAACTTTGACAAGAATGAGTTTTATAGAACATTTGTTTAGCTCGTTACATGAAAGTAAGGTTATAAGATAACTTAGATTACAAAATCCTCAGTTTTACTCAGATTAAATGATGCAAAAATTAATACACCCCACAACAAAAACAACTGCATCTAGTATTTTGTATGATCTCCATGATTTGTAAGGACAGCACCAAGTCTTCTAGGCATGAAATGAACCCATTGGTGACATATTGCAACAACCTCTTTTAGAGCCTTTTTTTCTTTGTACTCCTTACCTTTGTGACGCCATACAGTTTTTAAGCCATCAGTTCCAAAAACATTTATCTTGGTTTCATCACTCCAGAGTCCCAGTAGTCTTCTTCTTTTTCAGCATGGGCCCTGGCAAATTCTACGTGGGCTTTTTGTGCATGGGCTTTAGGAGAGGCTTCCTTTGTGGACAACACCCATGCATGCCATTGCACTTTAGTGTACGCTGTACTGTGTGATGGGAAACAATCACCCCAGTTTGGCTTTCTGTTTCTTTAGCTAACTGCAGTGAACGTACATGATGATTTGCTTCAACCCTTCTCATCAGAAGACGCTCCTGTCAAGGAGTTAACTTCCGTGGATGGTCTGTGAGATGGTTGCAGTTCCATCTTTGTTAAATTTTGCTACACTGAGCACTTTTCCTACAGTATTCTGACTGATAAGTAAAGCTTTGCTGATCTTCTTGTAGCCTTCACCTTTCTTGAGTAAAGACATTTTTTTTCTTTCTCAAACCTTGTGACATTTCTCTTCCATGTGGTGCCATTGCTGACAGCATGAAATGGGAAGGGGTTTTCTTTGTTAGGTAACGCCCTTTTATAATCAACTGTCTGTTGGACATCTGTTCTCTTGTTAATTAGTATTTTGTTGTATAAAATTTAGCTTTGCTCCCAAGACTTTCATTGGATGTATTCATTTTTGCAACATTGTCTTGAAAGAATTTGTTAGGAAAAATTTTTTTTTTTTGTGTGTGCAAAATAAAAAATCTTGTTGCAATCAATGGCTTGCATTTGTGGAAGTATTTTGCAGTATAGTGTCCCATAGAAAATGTTGATTGTGAAAGGAAAGGTTTCCTGACAAATCTGTCGGGATGTACTCATTTATGCTGAGCACTGTATCTGCTTATAATACTGCTCCCCCTCCCCCAGTGTAGTCACATGATGCAGTAGCTCCAGCTCCTCTGTTTAATGGAGCGCTCAACTATAGCTGTGAATTCTGGAACCCACGATTTCACTTGCCGGCTTCCATTGCCCATCTATTGTCACCACTCCCGCCTCTCCACTGCAGCAGTTGCTCCATGACAGAGGGGAGCAGGAGCTTTTGCATTACATGACCGCATTGGAGCAATTACACACACCTTTTTTTTCACCAGTACTCAGTGTTAGTAGGAGGAGGGGGGAGACATAAACACCTCCTTTACTTCTATTTGAAATGTTTGAACATTTTGGCGCTTCAGATATAACTTAAAGCGGATCTCCACCCAAAAGGGGAAGTTCCACTTTAAGGACTGGTAAGGAATTGGCACCTTTGACGAGTGGGAAGGAGCAGGTACCCGATCCCACTTCCACTCTGACCACCTAGGAGATCAGAAGCAACAGTTGCCCCCCCCCCCCCATCCCTGTAGTCACATGTCCAAGAAGACTACAGGACCATTCACAATACTGGGTGCTACTCACCCATGCTCACTGGACACCAGCCGCAATCTGTCACAGCAGGTGCCCACACTTAAGATGCCGGTGCCAGGGAGATTGGATGGCCAGTGAACCCACTGCTGGATCGTAGGACCTGTGAGTGACTGTTTTTTAAAAGTCAGCAGCTATAGTTTTTTCACCAGTGCAAAGCCCATGGATATTAAAGGAGTTACATATTCTTAACAAGGAGTAAAATAGTTTTAAAGCTGCCCTGACCTCTCTAGCTGAATATACTGTTATATAATTATTTCTCAAACGATCAAAACAAAGACTGAAGTAGGGTTTCAGCTGTTTTATAACAGATTAGAAACACAAGTGGTGTGTTTAAATTAGAAGACTGTCAGGCTGCCGAGATTCTGCAGCAATGGAAAATATTGACAATTATATGCCTTTGTTATGAACTTTGAAGATTAATTTCTCCACAATACCTTTAACTATGTAGGTGAAGGTTTGTTTCAAAGTGTTTTTACTGCTTGTTTGAAATAAGTAGATGCTAACTGTGCATACATTTGAAATAGGTTTAATTTAAAGTAGAATTCCAGCCTAACGCTAACTAAACTTAAGAATGCCACCCTTACCCTTCCTCATGCTGCCTATCCTACCTAACCTGTGCATAAAAAGATGTGTATACTTACCTATTTTTAGTCCACGCTGGTCATGTGATTCCCTGCATCAGTGAGTGGCAGCTAAAGGGGAGAGGCAGGAGTGCTTGAAAATGGCTTGGAATTCCAGGAGCTGTGACATCACTTATATGCTCCCATCACTTATATGCTCCCATGTCTCAGCCATTGTCAGACCTCTCTCCTTTCACCTGCAGCCACTGCGCACTGACAACCAGGGGGAACCAGAGCCGAAGGATCACAAGACTTGAGCGGGCTGAAAATAGGTAAGGTAGGTAGGTAGTTAGTATTAGGCTAGAATTCCACTTTAAGTGCTGAAGAATATATTAGCATAACATAAGCAATGTTTTCTGTAACAGTGCCATGCTTTACATAGTACAACATTTCACTCAGTAACACAAGTCTTTGTGAGTTGGTGTTTGATCTCCCATTCCTCCTCTGCTCCAATCCCTTTTCACAGAATCTTATATTATCTGGGCATTGCTTGGATAATGTGAAATCAAATACATTCCATGAGCATTTCATGGTGTATTTCACAGTCAGCAGTCTCTAAGGGAAGTGTTAAAGATTGGAATAAGACAAGGGGGCATTAACACTTTATCCTTTATAATCAAAGTAGTTGATTTTTTTTTTCTTTTGTAAGTTAAATGTACAGTGTAGTAAAAATACTATACATATAGCAGTCAGCAGCTCAGTAACTTAAACTTGAATAAACTGTATATATAAATGTATGCTTTTATTAATATTATTATTATACAGGATTTATATAGCGCAGTTTATTTATATATAACAGATATATATAGCGCAGGATTTATATATAACAGTTTGCTCAGCACTTTACAATATAACGGGGACAATACAGCAACAATACAGTTCAATACAAGAGGGATAGGAGGGCCCTGCACCTTGGAGTTTACAATCTAGGAGGGAGGGGCTAGTGGTACAAAAGGTATTAACTGTGGGGGATGGACTGGTTTTAATATTTATATACTGTATATTGTTGACTAACAGGGCTATATATATATTTTTTTTTCTTGGAGGGGAGTTTAGCCTTGGGTACCAAGAGAAGAATAATTAGGCAGCACGGTCAAGGTGCCACACCAAATTATGGGTTTAGCAAATCTAAGCTCTAAGAGGGGTGATGCCGTCCAGGGCCGCCACCAGGGTAGTTAAGCCCAGAGGAGGCAGTAACCATGCCATACCTGCCAATGGTTGATGTACTGCTTTGAGTGGACTCAGATGCTGACTGGGATGAGGGATAGTGGACTCACAGGGACAGGAACAGGGACTGCTGCTCCATGCACCTCCTTCCTGGGGACTTCAGTGGAGGGGCAAGGCCACAGTATACATCCTGGCCATAGGGAACAGCAAGTTGGACTTAGTGCTGAAGAGAGCAGGAGGTGGCATACAGATTGCACTGAATAGTGGTCTCAGAGCAACCTGCATTGTGTGAAGAAGGTCAGTGAAAGACTGTAATCACCAGCCCAGCAGCTTAGTGTGTCTCTGTTTAAAGCTATATCAGCCAGGCTGAGTATTCCTGCCCAGTGCCCTTACACTAGGTACTATTCCCTCTCTAGCAACCCTGATCTCAAAAACATAGAATATCTGCAGTCTCTGATCATTTCTTGTACTATGTCCGCAGTCTTTGACCATCTCCATTCAGTCTGCAGTCTTTGACCGTCTCCTGTAGTATGTCTGCAGTCTCTGACCATCTCCTGTGCTATGTCTGCAGTCTCTGACTGTCTTAAATACTATATTAACAGTCTCTGACCATCTCCTATAATATGTCTGCAGTCTCTGACCATCTCCTGTAGTAGGTCTGCAGTCTCTGACCATCTCCTGTAGTAGGTCTGCAGTCTCTGACCATCTCCTGTAGTAGGTCCGCAGTCTATGACCATCTCCTGTAGTGGGTTTGCAGTTTCTAACCATCTTCTGTAGTAGGTATGAAGTCTCTCACCATCTCCTGTAGTTTGTCCGCATTCTCTAACCATCCCCTGTACTATGTCTGCAGTCGCTGACCATCTCCTGTAGTATGTCTGTAGTCCCTGACCATGCCTGTAGTAGGTCCGCAGTCTCTTACCATCGCTTTTAGTATGTCCCCAGTCTCTGACCATCACCTGTAGTATGTCTGCAATCTCTGACTATCACCTGTAGTATGTCTGCAGTCTCTGACCATTGCCTGTAATAAATCCATAGTCTCTGACGATCACCTGTAGTATGTCCTCAGTCTCTGACCATTACCTGTAGTAAGTCTGCAGTCTCTGACCATCTCCTGTAGTGTGCTTTTTGGGACAGCGGCAACACAGACATGGTGGGAAAAAGTTCTGTCAGGGTAGAGGAGGCTGAGTGTGAGGTGATGGAGGCTCCCTCTGAGGTAACATAAGGGATGGGGGCTGCGCCTGAGATGAGGAAGGCTGTCCATGAAGAGATATGCGGGACAGAGACTGTCTGTGAGGAGATGAGGCTCCTATGTGATGATATGGGAGATGGAGGCTCCTCTGAGGTGACAGAGCTTTTATAAGGTGGTGTGTCCTCCTCACAATGTCCTCCTATCTCTAAGGTGTGTGTGTCCTCCATTACAGGATCCTCCAACTGACAGCAAAATTCTCTGGTGTCTAGTAGGTCTCTGGAGTTCTATATAGAGGTTGGTAGATATTGGGGTCTTATATAATGGTTGTTAGGTGCCGAGGGGTCTTATAGAGAGGCCCTTAGGTGTCAGGGGGTTTTATATAGAGCTTGGTAGGTGTCCAGAGGTCTCATATAGAGGTCGGTAGGTGCACTGATGACTTGGAATACACTTTTCATTTTCAAATATTAAGTTGTAAGAGTGTTAAAATAAAAGGGGGTGCACTGAAGGGTGAATTTTGGCCTAAAGCTGTGTAAGAGCCCCCAGATTTTGTGATGGCTGTCCTAACACCATCAAATAGGAAGTGATATCTGACTGCAATGGTGTCACCCCTATCCGTGACAGTACAGGGATGGGCATGCCAGCACCAACCGGATCATTTACAGGGGCCAGTTTAGGGTGCGCAGTGTGACAGCGATCTGCTGGCCCGAAATTAGCCTGCCCAGCGCCCTGCAAGGCACTGTGGCAGGTTACACAGGAGAGAGCCTGGGGGGTGGAGGGGGTGACACCATGGTTTACCGCACTGGGTGACACCAACCCTAGTGATGCCACTGACTAGAGAGTGCAAAATCTGAAATCAATCAGCTTCCAGGTTTTTTTCTTTCAAAGCTTAATTGAACAAGCTGAAATTAGAAACTGATTGGCTACCATGCAGAGCTGCACCCGATTTTGCACTCTCTAGTTTTAGTAAATCAACCTCAGTGTGCTTAGAGTTCAGGTAGTCAGGAGTATGTCAAATTCAGCAGATTATGCCCTTTGGGGGGGATTTTACTGGCAGCAGAAATTCTCTGTGATGTTAAACACAATCAAAACATATATGGGAGGCCAAAGATCTCTCAAAACAGTGATGCTGCAGAAGATGTCTTCCTGACAGTGATCAGTCTCATGAACTGTGTCCCAACCAGCTAGGAGAAGGCAAATGCAACACAGGCCACTCCTTCCCTACACATTTCCTTATTGCTCACATTTCTGTGGGACAGGAGGTAGACCACAATGCCCTGGTCCTCCCCTCTCAAACACACACCTATATCTGGAGTCCACATGGTCTTCTGGTTGAGAAGTCCATTCCTTAATGGTCAATCCTGTAGGCTAGATGGAAGCAGGAGAGGCACATCACAGTATCATTTAAGTACAATGGAGGGGTCAGTGTTCAGCTTCTAAAGAGGTCAGTCTGTCAAGTTTCTACAAAGGAGATGTTTTCTATATTATAGGTTGAGCTCCAGGCTGCTGGCTAATTGGGGTGTTTGGCCTTTGTCTATACAGAACTGTGCCTCTGTCTGTCCCTAGGTTCTTCTGCTGCTCTCGCATGGCTCATGTCTTCTCTGTGTAGCACACTTTAGTGTGCAACTAGTGTTAGTGTTGGTAAATTTATTGTATATGACTCATGGTAACTGTGTGAGTCTGTAATTAGGTCAGGTTCCTGTAGGTCAGGCTAGTTGACTTAACAGACTGGGACTCAACCTGGTTCTGGAGTACCATGGAAGCTTCCAGAAGCCAGTGGGTGGAAGGGATGGAAACCTAAATCTGCATGTTTATGCAAGTCTAACCAATTCCATGTTTGGAGGCCCTGGTAGAATGGTGAGGTTAACCTATAAATATGGGAGAGTCACACTGGTGGGGGAGTTGGGTGGAAGATGGAGTGCTGAGGATGCTGTCGGTGGCCTAGGAGGGGTCCCCTAGGTCTTGGGGGGCTGGCCTCAAGGCTAGGCTTGGGCTGGCTCAGGAGGATCCATTCAGCATCACAGTATGAACAGGATCAATGCCTGGGAGCAGTGGGAGCAAGGAGGACACAGTGAGTACATCAGCACACTCAGGGATTACCAAGAGGAGAGACTGCCACATGTAGCAAGCTTTCAAAGAACAGTGTTGTGCTTAATCATTTATCCTTGTCCTGCGAGATCTTCAAAGCACCTAGGAGGGCTGGTAGTGTCTGTGGGGTTTGGAGCTGTGAGTAGTTCTACAGGGGAGAGGAGATATCTCTGCATGTAGTTTGCTACAATCTAAGCTAACTTTTAGAGGGGCTGAGAGTCCCTAGCCCATAAGGGGCAGTTGCTACTGATCCGTAAAGACTGACTGTAGTCAAGGAGAAGAACAGTCCAGGATTTGTTTCTGTAAAGAGTATAGAAGTTGTCCCTGCGTATTGATTCAGTCAAGCTGGGCATCCCATAATCCTTAGTACCCCATCCAAGTTATTTCACCCTAATAAAATAGCAAAACCAAGCTCATTGACTGTTCACTGACTGTGGATCCAAGTGTGGAAAATGTGTGTTGTCTGGCTGTGAGGAGGTTAGGGGGACCAAGAAACACAAAAGGGTAGCACTACATCTGCATAACTGTTTTTTTTTACCTGGATCATGCACCTCATGCCTCTTTATGCTCAGTATACAACACTTTATGTAGAAGTCTCCTCAAGATTCTTTCGCCTTGCACAGTCTCTCTTGTACTGCAGGCCACTTGCTCTCCTGTACCATCCATTTTCCCTGTTCTGGTGTAAGATGTCAAAGTTTGGCTCTAAGTGAAAGTTGGACCCAATATCCCCCCTTGTTCACCAAACTTGTTTACAGTGGGCAGAAATGACAGTGAATCCAGTTTCTAAAGAGGTGTGAATTAATTATGCAGCTTTCTGTACCGCTTAGCAAAAAGAAGATGGGGCTTGATGTTACTGGGACATCAACACAGGGATTTTGCATTATTTGTATTAGAAAGTCTAGCTTCACAGTGGCACTCAGGGCCTGATGCAGAGAACCTGTTCAGTGACACAAACATAAATGAAGTTTTAAAGAACAGTTGAATCTAATATCTATGCCTGCGGCAATCCATGTTATTAGGCTGACAGACCCAGATTTCAGATTCAGATTGCTCATAAAAGACACTCACTGTTTTCATTTAAACATCTATTGTATATCGTTTTATATATATATGTATATTTATATATATATACGCAAGCATGTATTATTGAATATAGGTATTAAAATCTAAAGGTAATTTGTGGTTATGTCATTATTATTATTATTATTATTAATATACAGTATTTATATAGCGCCAAAAGGTTTGCTCAGCGCTGTACATTATAGTGGGGGACAGTACATGCTCTTTCGAGCTTACAATCTAGGAGGTCATAAAAGTATATTCTATCTCAGAAGCAACCCTTTGCACTTAGTGTGTTGAAAAAACGTTTATAGGAAATTGAAAGTGCTAGACAGGACTGCCATTGACAGCCTCCACCCCAATGTCTCCCCTTACTCTTTAACCCCCCCTTCCCCAGTGTCTTCTCACAACATTCCAGACACTCACTATACCTCCCAGCTTTAGAACTTCAGGGACATTAGAAACTGTGACATGTTACTGCAGTGAAAAGTGGGAGTGATTGAATTACACTGAATTTGGACATGGAGTCTGTAATGCTTATGAAATGTGTTGGCCTTGGACCCTTTGTATCTTTGGTAATTTGTACAATAAAGCATTGTTGCCCAAATTCCAGGTGCATGAGAAATCACTGATGTCATTTCTCTAAGCTAAATGAACAGGGTCACAAGATATTAGATTGCTTATAGCAAGATAAGAACTTATTTGTGGGATTGAATGTGTTTATGACATCTACAGTAGTAATGTCACATTAGAAGATAAGAACCAGTTTAAAAATGTCTACTTGCTTGAGAAGTTAGAAATCTTTAAGCTTAGGGTAGATGAGAAGAAGTTAGGGTAGATAAGAAGCTATTCTGAAGCAAAAGTGTGACTATTTAGAGATTCAATTCGATATGGTGGCTGGGCGTGACTCTGTTAACCTCACGGAACCTTTCTGCTAGCTCCTCTTAAGGTGAGTGTGGCGCCAACCCACTTCAGGAAAGCTACCAAGAAAATGGTGTAAAAGCCAGGAGTTTAAACGGGATCAATGGGGAGCCCCCTAGCAGACGAGGACGCTCTGATGCTGGGACTCTTGCCAAGGCTATATAGGCTCATCGATTGGTCGTGTTTATGGCTTCCCTATGACCCCCTGTGCAGTATGGTTCCGATGGGATCTGTTCCTTCCCGCCTTCACATAGCTTTGGAAATGTATTAATTCTATTAATGTGACACTGTGAAATAATGTGTCTATTTCATGCTGTAATGCTCACATTAATATTGGTGTGTGTTATTATGCAGATAGTGGTGACTAAATGATATATCCTCCTGTGTGTCGTGTGGTAATAAAAGTGGAGGTTTTGACGGTGCAAGAATATTGCAGTTGGATTCTGTTATTTCTTGGAATGCCGGGTGAATGCTATGATGTGCCAGGGCAGATATTCATTTTGTAGAGGGTCTTTCACATGCCTAGAATACAGTGTGCAAAAAAGTATTTAGTCAGCCACCAATTGTGCAAGTTCTCCCACTTAAAAAGATGAGAGAGGCCTGTAATTGGTATCATAGGTAGACCTCAACTATGAGAGACAAAATGAGAAAAAAAAATCCAGACAATCACATTGGCTGATTTGGAATGAATTTATTTGCAAATTATGGTGCAAAATAAGTATTTGGTCACCTACAAACAAGCAAGATTTCTGGCTCTCACAGACCTGTACCTTCTTTTTTAAGAGGCTCCTCTGTCCTGCACTCATTACTTGTATCAATGGCACCTGTTTGAACTTGTTATCAGTATAAAAGAC